TGGTCCTTTCTGTGGGCTGCAGTGCTTCAGATAAATCACCTTTTGCATGGCCTGACCACAGACTGCTGTTCCTTCAGAAAATATCCTTCGACTTTGGAATTGAGTGCTCCATAGTTTGCAGTGTGGACACCAAATAAAACAATCCAACTGGTAATCTTCTCCTTCTAAATAAGAGCATGTCTAAAAGTACATAGATAATTGCCACCACTGTACCTGTCTGAGCGCATTCAGGAAACCAGGAGTTTAACATTTCTGCAATTGTGTTTCACTTTTTGAAGATAGGTCAGTTTTGTGTATGTGGTGCCTCCCATTGAAGAACAAAATTACAGAGAGCTCAGCAAGGTGATCCTCCAATATTCCAATGTTTTTCACAAAATTGAATACACAGACAAGGGACGAATGATGAAGGGGAATTCTTCAGGCTGTCGTGGGTGACCACGTGTGGTCCTTATATATGTGTAGCTGACCAAGGAACAGCTGATGCTTTCTCCTTCTGCTCAAATGTAGTATTTGTTTCAGCTCTAGCAATCCTGCCAGCACATTTGTAGTATCTCTGAGTTTTTTTAGACTCCATGTAGCATGATTTCTGCACTTCTGTAATTCACTCATGTGCAACATCAAAAAAAAGCAATGGAGAGAGGAGTTACTTACTGGGACAATGAAAAAGTAAGAACTGGCTAAGCTCACTTCCTCTGGGATCATTTGTCCCCTACTTCTGGTAGGCATCCAGGTTTCCAGCTGGGCCTCTGATCTGATCACAGTATTACTTTCCAGCACCCACCTCTACTTCATGTCATTTCATGTGTTTGTTTTCCAGTAAAAAATGAAGAAGTGAAATTAAAAAGTTTGGGGGATGAGTGAGATGAAATATATTTATTTCTAGCCTACTCCGCCAAAAAAGAAAAGCACATAAATGAAAACAAGGAGTCCCAACACAATTTCGCTGTTGTAAAAAGCAATTTTTCATTACAAAGCAATTTTTTATTTAAGAAGTGATTTCACTGAAAAAAGCAAAGAAGCATTTTAATTGCATTCTTGTTGACTCAAATCTGCTGAAGCCAACTGGGAGCTTTCCCACTGATTTCACTGATTTGGATGGGGTCTTTTTGAACTAATGATGTGTTGTTGAATTGATGTTTGTTAGAGAAGCCAGAATTTTCAGAAACTTTTCCTCAGACTCATCATCCTCCACTCATTTTTTTTCTACATTTCTTTCATGAATTGACATTAAAAGGGATAAGGGAGACATGAGTGTGAGCTTACATTTCCCTTTTCCAGAACTCGCATGGAAACTTCATTTATTGTCTGTTGTTTTAATGTATAGCAGGCTCATGTTGCTCTCAAGATGGAAGCAGCAATTTTCATTATTCTATAGGAAGCATATTCACGGCAAGATCCTTTGAACATTTTCCATTCCAGACTAATGGGGAATAGGAAAAACCATGGGATATCAGTAGAAAATCAGATTTCATACAATTTTAAAAAGAAGTCTGTCTTCTTTTTAATCAGTTTCCTGGGATCCTGCTGAGGACCCCTCCTGACATTTTGTCATCTTGTCAAAAATAAATTTTCTTTTTCCTTTGCTCTGATGGGGGTGGGGCCATTTTTACAGATGGCTTGGTAACATGAGTAAGAGCCAAGAAAAAGGGATAATTATTCATAAATGACATTTCCCATTTCTGTGGGTTTTCTTGAACAGGACAGGGATTCTAATGTTCAGTTCTAATGACAGGGAAGAATTTATAGTCTCACTGTGTTATCTCCTGGGAGTGTAAATGCTTTACTTTCAACTCTTCAAGATGTTTCAGTTTTCTTAGAAAAAGTCCCTAATGCATCTTACATAAATTTTGGCGTTTAACTCCAATCAGTGTTCAGAATCCTGAATATGTAAAGACAAAACGTCAGATAACTGGAGAGATGTTTATCTTTCTAACATGCCTTTCATAACGATCTCCAGGAGCACATCATTTCAAGGATATAATTTCTTAAGGTTAAGTTGTCCTGGGTATGAAGCATTAGGTCATGCTGCCTGTTTATTTTCAAACCCAGGAGGTGTGTGATGGGAAGTGTTCCCTTCTGGGACTCTGTGAAGCAGATACGTGGTTAGGGCAAAACAGACAGATGAGTCATAGGTGGGAAACCATCGTGATACTGAAGAATTTGACTGTAGCCACTTTCAGTGTTGCCTCATTTTGAGGAGCCTTCCTCTGCCCACACTATGCTGTTCACTTCTGACTCATCCTCAGACAGATAAACCTGACAGTCTGTTGAACTAGAGCAGAGATTATTTCACATTTCTAGGCACATGCAGCTCTCAAGACTGAGTACAGCTGTTCTCTCCTTCAAGATGTGTAGATTTAACCGCCAAATTAGACCATAGGGAATAAGATGAATGAAGGTTTAACCTTGTGACTTCATTTTGTAGCTCATTGACTGGAGACATGTTGGGAAGCCAACAGAGATTTTTATTATTCTCCAGGAATCTATTCACAAAGTCTTCAGAAAAGACTTCTGGAAGCCTGGAAGATCCTTGCAGGCTGAGCACCTTCCCTGTAAACTGTCATTCATGTCTCATCTATTGCTCCAACCAAAAGCCTGTCTTTTGTCTTATGGCATAATACTCACTAATGGGTCGAGAATGGTCTAAGTCTCAATGATGATAAATAAGGGACAGGAGCCAGGGCACTGTATAAACTTGTTACTGTAAAGTGAATTCAATAGAGGAGCAACCTCTGTCTCTGTCTTTCTTTTAAAGGAAATGGTGTATGTGGCATTAAAAGACCCTATGACTGCTACACGGAGGGACTTTTCTTAATTTCTTGTGCACAAGGAAGTTGGAGATCTCATGTGAAAATCTTATCTCACCTGTCAAACCCAGAAGAATCTCGAGATTTTCCCAGTAACTTGCTTGAAATTTATAGACAGCATTGGTAAAATCAACTGATGAACCATGGGAAAATGGATGCAGTCTTGTGTGTCTTCAAACAATTTCAAAGAAAAATACAGGGTACTGTCACTGTTAATTTTGAAGGGGAACTCAGGCAGAACAAGAGAAATACCCACTTCTCCATTCCAAGGCATGACTCATATAACTTTCTTTTCTGTCCCCTCTTTCTTTCTTCATTATTTTTATTATTTAATGTAACCTTCTATTTCTAATATAAAAATTAAAACTCTGCTACACAGTTGGCTGTGTTCACTGCACTGTGATATTCTTTTAATTGCTGAAAATCCAAGGCACCCAGAATGTTCTGTTCTCCCAATTTAAAATCTTTTTGCTACACAAAGTACCTGTAGAGTTCAACTTCTGTAATATAATCATCCTGCTTCATGAAAAATGCATACATGGTGCTCTACCAGATATGCCACCTTTTATTTAGTAAAAAAAATTTAGAACTATTTTCTAGGAAAAGGATATGGCTAAAAAAAATAAAAGAGCCAGAGAGTCATAAGCTACATTATCTCTGTGAGAATGGGGATTTTCATCATTCTTTCAAAGCCAGCTTCCAACAGAATGTGATATCACCACCTGCTAAACACATGGAGATTGTATGAAGGAAGAGTTTATTCAGTGTTTAGTGAATTAGCTGCTCATGAGAGGAGGCACAACAAAGATGTACTTGCTCAAGAAATATGTGCAGTAAAGACAACCACAAAGGAAGTAAAGGTATTTAGTCCTCCAGTGCCCATCATGCTCTTTATTGCTAAAAGACGAGCTCTGCTTCAGTGCTCACTATTGCTTTGGCCCTTTAGCTCTCCCTATCAACCAAATGCTCAATTCCCTGGGTTCATGAAAATTAATGTATAAGAGGCTGGATTTCCCCATATCTACCTTTCACATAAATCACCTTATTACCAACAAGTACCATTCAGTGTTGACATGAGACAAAATACCTGTCAGTAATCCAGGTCTGGCTAGCATTCTGCAGTGTTTCCTGACCAGTTCCTTTGAAACACTAACAGACACATTATGGTATTGCAGAAATGGACTATTTTTTCACTGATTCTGAAATACAGTTGTTTTAAATGCAGGCATTAAGAAAGGTTTTTCACATTTATTGATGAGTTACAGTGATTGCCTTTTTGCTGGGTTATCAGAGAAGGCTCTATTGTACAGGTTTGAAGTAACATGGTTTTTAAAACAACTTTATTTTGGTTTAAAAATATTTACTGGCTGTTCCTAAGAAAAGATCTCTGCCCTATGTGGTAGTGTGCTTGCTATAATATACCTATAGGCAAGTGTGCATTAAGCTCAGTACTTAATCAGTGGCTGCAGTAGACAGCAAAGCTAGACTAAGCTTTGTTTCTGGCAGTCCCCGAGACAGATGCTATGTCTAGTAGCCTTCTTCAGGTGCCCCGTAATTTATTCAGCTATATCTGTCCTGATTTCAGCTGGGACTGAATTAATTTTCTTCTTAGTAGATGACACAATGCTCTGGTTTTGGGTTTGTTATGAGAAAAATGTTGTTAACGTTATTATAGTTGTTGCTAAATGCTGCTTACCCTCAGCCAAGAACTTTTAAGTTTCCCATGCTCTGCCAGTGAGCAGGTGTACAAGAAGTTGGGAAGAAGCATAGCTAGAACAGCTGGCTCGAACTGGCCAAAGGTATATTCATGCCATGGAATGTCATGCCCAGTATATAAACTGGGAGGAGTTGGCTGGGATGAACCAACCACTGCTCAGGGACAAGCTGTGCATTGGTCAGTGGGTAGTGAAAAATTGTCTTGTAAAGAATTTGTCTTGGGTTTTATTTGTCTCCCTCTCTTGCATGATAATTATCATAATTATAATTTTCATTATTGTTATCGTTATTATCATTATCATTATCATTATCATTATCATTATCATTATTATAATTATTATCACTATTATTATAATAATTATTTTAAATATTGTTTTTATTATTGTACTATCTTTTTTCAATCATTACACTGGAATTAGCTCAACCCCTAAGTTTTCACTTGTGTTTTTTAAATTCTCCTGCCCTCCTACCGGGTAGGAGAGGGTGAGAGCGGCTGCTTGCACTCGGTTACTGACCCGGGATAATCCACGGCGCATCCTCTCCTCTGCGCGGTGCAGTGAGAAATGGAGTAGCCAGCAGAGGGCAATGAAGGTCAGTTTTTAGAGACATTTACATGAAACAAACTCAAAGTGGTCGAAAATGTAGGGCAAAAGGGTCAAACAAGAGCAGCATGTTGTGAACTGCTGCTATGCACCCATTTCTACTAATTACTACGAGACCCGAGTGAACTCTTGTGGTCATGTGGTCTATAAACCTCCTTTTTAACGGCCACATTAAACAATGCAGCTCCTTCTTTATGACAATGGAGTTAATACTCATTCCAATGGGGGGAAAACCCAGTAAAAATTATACTCTTCTAAAATAGAACAACCAGTTTAAACCAGTAGCCAATAAACCCACAGCTCCTCATATAAATTCTGTTTTATTGGTCTGTTCCGGAGAGCAGTTGTTTTGTTTAAGTTGATAACCGGTTGTTTTTTCCAAGACAATTAGGTGCTTGGATGAAAAAAAGAGAGACGTCCAGAGAAGTCAGCTGTTGCTCAGATCAGACAAAAAAAGATATGGTTCCCACAGTCAGACTCAAAGCTCTTTATCACAGCTCTTAATCCCATATGCTAGGAACAATGTGAATTTAGAGTAAAGAACAATCTTTTTTGACTTGGGTGACATCTTCTAGGGATGTAACTTTTATCTTGGCAGTTGGGCAAGCCAAGAGAAAGCAAGATGTGTTATTTGCCTCTGACAGTTTGGGCAGCGTCTTTTTGAGCCTAATTGTGGCTCTAGGTGCCAAACTTTTTAAACTGATCTCTTGACATTGCTACACTAACCAAAGAACAGCTTATTAGCTGGAAATGCCTAGAGTGTTAGTGGGAAATTGTATTTATTTATCCTGTGGAAGATCCTAAAGGAGCCCTTCAGGAGTGGGACCCTGTTGCAGCTCTGCTGTGCTGCAGAGAAAAGCTCCTGTGTGCTGTAGATCTGGGTTTCACTGTTGTATGTGTCACACTAGCTTGGCTATCCTGGGCATGGTGCTTGGCTTTTCTGCACCTCAAAAAAGGATTAGTAATTCCTGCAATGTAAAGTGTTGTGACTGAAATGGCTATATAAAAGTTAGGTTGCATTTTTGATACAGGATAGAAGAGAGAAAGTAATACTGATTTTGTGAATTTTATGAATATTTATTAATGTTGTGAGTCCAAAATAAAGGTCCTGGGCTGTTTAAGTGAAATTAATTATCTTTGCCTCCTAAACTTTCAGCAGAAACTGGGAGCTATAATAGAGCAAAATAGAACCTTGCAATGATGACGTGATTTTTGAATAGTCATGAGAAGGAAGAACAAAGTCCTAGAGGAAGAGGAGAGCTGAGCCACCCATCTTGTGTTCCCAGCAGAAGTTCTCAGGTGGGATGCAGCTGGCTGGTGGTAAGTGCCCTAATGTTCCTAGCTATTAACAGTAATGATAATTTTAACAAAAGCTCTTGGTGCTTGAGTGTACTTATTTCAGAAAGAATACACGACATGTTGCACTGTGTCAGACACAACAGGCAGATGTTAATAAGTACCTGTTTGCATGTGAGAGAATTGCTGCTTCTGGGTTTTTATGATGTGTCATCAGCTGATATCCAGAAGTCTGGCTGGCGCCAGATTGGACACCAGGTAGGATCTGCCTGGAAAGATGGCAAATATTTGACTTGGTGCTGATGGGGTTGGATTTCAGTCATGGCTCTCTGTCTTCGTCAAGAGAATTATGGCAGAGGTAATGGGTGTGTTTGAGCCCTGTCAAGTCTTCTTTCAGTGGCTGCTGTTTTGATTGTTCACTTGTCTGATCATTCTAAAACAACCAAGAAGCTATGTTCATGTGAGCACAACTTGGTTGTGCAACCGGAGTGGCTCTGCTCAGGGCTAGAGATGCTGTTCCCAGGGGCACAATATCCCTGGCAGGGTAAGAGCCAGTCCCCTTGCAGGAGGAGCTGCTGGGGTGTCATATTGACAAAGGGAGTCTCCTGCAGGTGTGCACTGGAGGGCAGCCTGCCTGCACTTTCCCTCTTCTGGGGCTGACTTCTCTCCTGGGTCATGGGGGCCAGCTGAGGATTTCAGGAGGGCAGGGCTGCCCCAGTTTAGCTGCTGTGCAGTGTTTTAATGGAGTCAGTGCACCGTAATGCAGCAGCACTTCTGCCAGGCTGACGTACTCTGCCAGCGCACATTAAGTGAAATCAGTGAGCACAATAGTTGTAGGCAAGTCACAAATAAATTATATTCATAGGCTTTAAATATTTTATTATTTTTTTCCTGAGGCTAAGAGAGGTGGTAATTCAGTCTTCTCTGTCTCTCCCACCATACAGCCTTTCACCCAACTACTCCTAACAATTTGAGGGCAGATTTTAGACCTTAAAGAAAAATGTCAGCATTCATTGTTACTTACTTAAGTATGTAAAATAAAAATCCCTATATTTTCACCCATTAAATTAATCCCTAGGTGGTTTAATTTCACTTTCCTGTGTGAACTGTAGGAGAAAGGGGAAATTGCTGAAATATTTTTCTCACTTCTTTTTTTTTTCCTTTGTCTTGAGGTGTTCATATATTAGAATGAAATGAAAGCGCTAGTCTAGGGATAGCCAACCTTCCTTACTGTTCCTCCCTTCACACCCATTTTTTTCCACATCCAGACCAGCATCAGCTATTTGGAGAATGGAGTGGACTGGCAGCTCCCAGAAAGGTGGCTCATAGCCAGGGGAGTGTGGCAGTGGCCTCCTCCAGTGGCAGTGGACCCCTCCAGCAGGGTGTGGTTGAGATGGAGGCAGCTGAGCCCTGCTTGGCCTCGTTGGGTGGGAATTTAGGCACAGCAGCACCCCAGTAGGGCTTTGTGGCTGGACATATATCATCACCTTCGAGCTGCATGCATCAGAGCCTATGGCCAGGCAGTCCCCGTGCCCAGCTCTTCATAAGAGAGCCTGTAATAGTAAAGTAATGAATAAGATTATGAATTCCTATGGGTTTATGACAAAAGTGCAAGTGTTGAAAGCATTGGGAAGCATACTTCAAGAAAGTGACAGCTTGACACGTTCCAAAAAGCAAGATTAAAAGTTTTAAAACATGTGACAGAATAAAAAATTCTTGGGCTTTTTTTCTTTCTCTACCATTCCTGCTTTGGCTTGAGTGAATCATGCCCCACCCCTATTTTAGATGTGAAGAGTATTTCCTTGAATCTTTTTAAAACTGATCACTTAGCACTTACTTTCCCTCTGAAATAGAATATTAAGATTCTTTCTTAGCTCATAAGAATAAAGTTATGCATTTTAAAGAGAGGAAGAGAAAAATAACAGAATAAATAATCATAAAATATTTTTAAAATAATGAATTGTTGATTATTTTTGTATTCAAATACTTGAAAATGAAAGCTTAATTTATTTTTCAAGTCATTTTGTGCCACTGCAGCCACACTAAAAGGCACCTAATTGAATAAGGGAGAATAACAAAAATACACAGAAAAAGAGTTGATCGGAGACATGAAAAGAAGATTTTCTGTCTCTATGTTATGGAAAAATGAAGCTGAGAGTTGTGAAGGAAAACTTCTTAAGGTAACCAATTTGTTAACATTTAACTTCTAGAATGTTTTTCATCTTTAAAGAACAAATGCTTACTGTTGTGCATGAATCAGCTACAGCATTTTTACTGTTTTCAACAAGAAAATTGTATGGTTTGTAAGTGGAAAAAGCAAGATATAGAGACGTAAAAATATTTTGTAATCATGCCACAATAGAAGCTAAGAAGTGAATTAGAATTTTTTAAAATCTGGGAGTATTCATAATCAAACATAATCCGTTTATTTGCAGTTTATCTGTAACCTCCTACAGAAAGTAGCAATGCATACATTCTTTAAGATGAAACTGCTTGTTCTTGGTTTAGGCTTATTATGTTTACAATGTACCTTTACACTGAGAAAGTTTTGTATTTCTTAATAATGAATTAAAACATGCCTTCTTAGCTGAGAGAAATTGACCACTTTCTGCTGAAAGGGTCAAAAGTAAACTGGAAATTTCCATGTTGATAAGAAAGCATGAAAGCAAAAAATATTACACATGAGGTAATGCAAAATGCATGTTGCTGTGACAGGCTCTTAGCCAGAGCTGCTCTGAGCTGATCCTACCTTTTTTCTCCCCTGCTCTCTCCTTTCCCATCTCTTTCTTCTTTCCCATTCTTGTCCAAACCTAAAGATGGCCAGATATGAAATGCTGCCAGTCACGACTCCTAAGCTTCCAAAGGATCTCTCATCAGCAGTGACAGAGGCTCTTTTGTGTAGCTTTTGGAAGTGGCTCTGGCTGCTTTGGCGCAGGCAGGGAGCTCGGGAGCTGCTCTTCACTCCAGCCTCTCACTTAATGTCGGAGGGATTTTTGTGTGCCTTTCCCCCACGGCTCCAGGCGAGGTGAGGCTGCAGTCAGTGCGATGGTCTGCAGGGAGACATCATTCTAGATGAATGAATACAAAGAAATGGGCCTCTGCGTTTTGGTCCATCTCCCCAAAAGGTACTTTTGGCCATGTGTTTTGCCTGCTGAGAGTAGTCTTAACTACAGGAAACATGCTAAACTTGTGCTGGGAATTCATCACCAAATGGACGCATCACCATAGGTACTGTAACAGAAAACTGTGAAAAGCAAATTAAATAGAGGTAATGCTAAAATATTTAGTTTAATACTATTGTCATGGGTTTCGGAGGGTCAGGATATAGACTGCTCTTTCTGAGAGGGGATTTTATAGGAATTGTCAGCTTGATTTCACAAGGCTTTGCTATAATTTTTGTTTCTTTCTCTGTGAAAATGTGAGTGCAAAATTCTGCTATACCGACAGGTCAGTTAATACTACTTAGCAAGGGGCAGACAATCTGTCAAGTGCAAGAGCCAGGGAGAGGTGACCCTTGTCTTTTGGGCAAGTGATACAAATTGGGTGAGAAGGCATCATAAGAACAGCAACAGTCAGTCAAACCTCTGATCTGTTTAATTCAGTACTTTGTCAGCTAAGGTGGCTAACAGGGAATGCTTAGCAAGAGGATAAAGCACAGTGTAAATACAGAAACTGTATTTCTGTAATACAGCTCAGGGGCTGGGAGAGAGGGAAGAGAGTCACTGAATGAGGCTGTGAAAAGCCTCATGCATCTCTTGCAGTACAGAATTTTACATTGCCTGTGATTTACTCTTATGCAGAAAGATAGCATTTATCAATGGCTTTGCCAGTGGCAAACCTTGCATTTACTTTCTCTCTACTTTCTGGCAGCTGAAGCTCAGCAGCACTGCTCTCTGGGGCCAGGGACTCCCCGAGGCAGGTGCAGTGTCTTCCTGTGTGTCTGCAGCAGAGTGCCAGTTCTCCCTGGGGCTTTCACACACTCCTATTCACCGCTGTTTCTTCCACTTCACAGGTCCAGAAGACCTTACCTCTGGTCAGTGGCTCACGGTATCCATGCCTCTGTAGATCGTGTGACTGAAGTTTTTGGTTTTGATGTCAGCATAAGGGACTGGGATTGCAGGCGTGAAGTTGACAACCCTCTGTAGTGGCTCATATGTGATTAGTGATCATTAATAAAGCTGGGCATACATTTTTGAGAAAGAAGCAACAATTGGGAAAGAAAACTCTCCTGGGGAATTCTTATACCCTTCCTTGTGGATCTGAGGGATCTGTGAAACAGTCAAGCACTTCAGCTCCTCTGCTCAAAGAAGAGGTATACAGGCATGGAAAGTTTCTTGCACAGTTTCTTGGGTTATTATTACATTATTTTCATATGTGTTTCATGAGTGGAAGCACTTTGGGATGTACTTTCTTGTATTTTAAATAAAGGGGAACCTAGAAAATGGTGTGCTGTGAATTACCTTTTAAAAATAGTTTCAGGTGCTCTAGGAAAATGCTCCTGGAACATTTAACCATCGAAAACAAAAGATCATATTGAGTCTAAATCATCAGACAGGACTTTTTTACACCTTGGGCTAAAAGATTTTAAGGGCATACAAAGGCACCACAGAAGGCAGGGCAGAGCAGTACAGCAAGAAGAGGGTTTGCTGGCAGTGCACTGTACAGTGGGTACAAGATGGTGCAGCTCTTTCCCCTTCCCTAGGCAGCACTCTAGCATATTAATATCTTTTCTTCAGCATTTAACAAGACCATTGCTGTGTCATGGCTGCATTTCTGGGTAATGCCATTCTGACACTACCTCAGGGTAGAAATGCTTTAACTGCAGCACAAATGTACCTTACAATAATGGAAAATCCTTTTGCAAGATAGAGAGTAATGCACTTCAA